CATGATGCATTTTTAATAGTTCTAGACTCCTGGGGATCTTTGTTTCTCTGCTGAATTTCACATTTTGGCAGCTTTTTCTCCTAAAACTCATTTACAAACGCCCCCACCACAGGCTTCCTTTGTCTCCCGTACATCTCAGTGTTGTTTTTCTGTTAACTACCCCCCTCTGCCCCCCCCCCCCTGCTGCTGATTTATCTGCATGTTGTCCTCCATCCCCGTACCTGGTTGGGTGGCTGTGATGGGGCCAGATGCTCATGAATTAACAAAATACATTAATTACTCGGTTCGGAGAGCTTAAAGAATGGACGATTTAATTTTGGGTGTAATCGTGGTGTGTCTCTGGAGCTTGTTTTAGGTGGCGGAGGGAGGCCGGGCCGGGTTTGACAGGTGTGTCTGCTCTATAGAGCAAATGAGAGGAGATGAGCGGAGAAACGGGAGCTGGCAGAGTCTGGGGAGGAGCGGAGACTGCTCAGGTAGACGGTAATGAGGCCGGACCCTTTTTGAAAAGAATCCCTCAGCATTTTGGAAATTACACTTGCTGCTCTCTTACTTGCAGAAAAGAAACCTCTCTCTCAGCCCCGTCTGTTAAAGATGAAGCCAAATCCAGGAGCCATCAAATGTGAGCACAAAAGGCCAAAAAACACATGAAGATCTTTGTAAAGGCAACAAAAATCCATTTGCCATCCCCTCTAAATATAAATATATATATATATATATATATATATATATATACATACACACACAGTGGGGGAAATAAGTATTTGACCCCTTGTTGATTTTGCAGGTTTGCCCACTTACAAAGAATGCAACGATCTATAACTTTAATCATATGTACATTCTAACAGTGAAAGACAGAATCCCAAAGAAAATTCCAGAAAATCACATCAAATGAATTTATAAAAATTGATAACCATCCGATGAGGAAAAATAAGCATTCTTTGTAAGTGGGCAAACCTGCAAAATCAGCAAGGGGTCAAATACTTATTTCCCCCACTATATACATATATATATATATATATATAATCCCCCCCGAAGATACCGTCCATCCTTTTTCTATACATGCTTAATCCAATTTATGGAGCCTAACCCATTTATCTTTGGATGGTGGGCGGACACCCGGTTCATGACTTGGTTTTCTGAGATAAACTAAACAACCACACACACTC